GTCACCTCAAAGTAACACAACGACGTATAATTCGGGGTTTCAAACCCTCAGGACAGTATTTACGAACCGGCTAATTCTCTAGCTCGCGATGACTTTGTCTCTCAAATCGACCTCCAAATGCCTCGAATCTAGCCACAATAATTCGATTCAGTTAATAAAAAGTATAGGAATTAATTCCATATGAAATTTTACATTTTCCAATTAAAGATTCGAAATTGCGCTCAAAATTCACCCGTGGGGCCCACGTCTCGAAACCCGACAAAAATTACGGAATATGAAACCTCATCCAACCACGAGTCCAACCATACCAATTTTACTAAAATCTGACATCAACTCGACCCTCAAATCTTCAAATTAAACCAAGATTTCAAGATTTTCCCAACTAAAATCACCAATTAAATGCCAAAACTAGTAATAGATTCAGGTAATCTAACCAAAATTAAGTTAATAACACTTACCCCGTTATTTTCTCTGAAAATCTCCCGAAAATCGCCTCTCCCCGAGCTCCAATTTGGTAAAAATGGAAAATGGGATTCGTCCCATTTTCCAGAACTTAACATTCTGTCTTGTACTGTTCACACTGCTCACACTGTTTACGACTGTTTACGGGGTACTGTTCATGGGGTATTGTACACGGGGTACTGTACATTGTACTGTTCACGCAGGTGCGGTCACTGTTCACATGTGCGAAAAATGCAGAAACTGCCAAGAAAATTGCAGCAACTTTTCTTTTCACTAAAAAGGCTCTAACTCCATCATACGAACTTGGAATTTGATGATTCTTGTTCCTATGAGTCACAAATAATAATATGAACATAGCCCTTTAGTCGAAACTCAATTCGGAGCTCATTTGCTCAGTTCAATACCCATTTCACTCGTTAAACAATTAACTCATGTTTCGTGTCAGAAACTCAATCGCGAATTGATGAAATTAGACCAAACTTTCCAGATCAGTCCTATAATTCATTATCAAAATCCCTTAAGTCTCGAAATCAAATTTCGATCTCTGGAACTAAAAATGGATCTTTGGATCATTACATGCTTATGCTCAAAACGGCAAAATCTTCCAAAAACTCTTCCAAAACTTATCCGAGACTCGTGGGACCCCGACCAAACATGCCAACACACCCCATAACATAATTCAAACTTGATCCAACCTTAGGTATGCTCAAAACAACATCAAAACATCAAATCACCCTCGGATTCAAGCCTAAGAATTCCAAAACTTCTGAAATCCGAATTCGATCAAAAAATCGACCAAACGACGTCCAAATGACCTGAAATTTTGCACACGCATCACAAATGACATAACGAAGCTACAACAACTCTCGGAATTCCATTCCGACCCTTGGATCAAAATCTCACCTATCAACCGGAATTCGCCAAAATATTAACTTTGCCAATTCAAGCCACATCCTTCCACGGACTTCCAAAATGCATTCCGATCGTGCTGCTAAGTCATAAATCACCCAACGAAGCTATCCAAATCATAAAATTTTCGATCCGAGCTCATATACAAATAACTCAACTCTTAGTCAAACCTTTCAAATTCAAAGTTTTCAACTGAGACTGTTTCTTCAAATTCATTCCGATTTTTCCTGAAAACCAAAACCAACGATCTACATCAGTCATAATACGTTACACGGCGCAAGTCATGCCCGGGAACTGGCGATCAAAGTGCAAAAGTTCAAAACGACTGGTCGGATCGTTACAAGACGGCAAGGCTGTTATAGACAATTATACATCCAAAACTGAAAGCCGACAAGGCCACAAACAACCCAACTAGCATATTGTCTACAGACCTCTAACAGAAACATAACTGTACAAAGATGGGACTGAGCTACGTCATACCCATATACATATATATGTACAAACGTATCGTACCAATATCAAAAGCAGCTCCGGATCAAATGGAGCACGCCAACTCTCGTTGATCAGGGTTCCTAAGAAGCGGGACCGTCAACTTGCCTACCTGCACCTGCAAGCAAGAAATGCAAGCCCCGTGAAATAGGGAGTCAGTACGAAAAATATACTGAGTATGTAAGGCATGGAAATTAGTACGTAAAAGACATAGATGAAACATGGATTACTGAAACACATCTTTAAATCTGAATAACTTTGTAAATTTTGGAATGTTTATAATGTCATGCACGTGCATGTAAATATCATGTCATGCATAGGTATGAGTATACATAATATCATCAAGCCACTGAGGGTATCCCATCATATCGTCTCGGCCACTGTGGGCAACATCATCAACATATACCAGCTGATCAGGTAGTGGTGCGTATATAATGCCATAACCTCTTCCCATATCCCATATACATATACATATACATACATATATATGCGTATATAACGTCGTTTGAATCATATTTCAGCCACTGTGGGCAACATCATTATCATATACCAGCTGATCAGGTGGTGGTGCGTATATAATGCTATAACCTTTTCCCATATCCCATATACATATATTTACATATATATGCGTATATAACGCCATCTTGTCATGAGTCAATGCACATGTATAAATGAGTGAAATACATGAAAAATACATAATAATCTCGATATTTCTTTCGAATAAACTTTTCCAACTGCATATTATTCTGAGACCCATGAACAGAAGATAATAATAATTCTCATGGGGAATCAAGAATATAGACACCCTACCATTTTTATGAATAGTGTAATTTATAGAAACTGTGTATTTGTTCGTTTCTTCAGTATAATTTGGACCATGCCAAAAGAAAGAAGGGAGGGCCTTAACATATCCGTTTCCTTGAAATTGGAACGAACTTGTTCTGCTTCTAACGTTTTTGTATACTAAAAGCAAAGATGGATTAAATCTTAAATGTTGAACTTGAACGTTTTCTTCAGCTTCTATTGTTTTGTGAATCAAAATGGGTCTAAGCAAAATTTTGCCCCAATGTTGGTTTTGAAGCTTCTGTTTCTTATTTGAACAGAATGTAACAATTAAATTTTTGTCTTTGAAATGAAATTGTTTATCTCATTTGATTTGATAAAGCCTACCACAAAGTCTTGGTAAGACTTTGATTTTAAATCTTGACACATGTAAAACATGAATTAATGACTCATCTTATACAAAAGGGGAGGGGGGGTGCCACGTTCCCCCTTGGTAATTGATTAAATTTTTATCTGCTTATTAGTTAACTGGGTAATGTTCTGTTACCAGTAACTAACCAATTACCCCCAAACTTTAAAAATTGCCCCGAATTACTTAAAATTCTATTTATTTTTATAAATACTTCATATATACTTTATATATTATACTACCATGGTCATATGGTGCCTTGCATGGTATTCGTTCCTAATTATAGGGTATTATCGCTCGACCCCGTATTTTATTCCAAATTAGCCACTTTTAATGAAACTCGTTTTCTTTAATCCATGTACTCCTTTACCCTTCATAACACTTGTTTATCGCTTGTTATAAATAGCGTAAATATGTTAACGTCAAGATGACCTCATTCCCGAATCTACATCAACTAACTAAAGACAAAACTTTTAACGTGCGAAAACGCGAGATGTAACAAAGACCGAATTGAGTAATTATTAAAACAGAAAGTATATGAAACTGAGTCAATAATTAAGAACAGACAAATGATAACAACAAACTTTAAATTAATAACTCGTACAATTTTATTAAGAGTATCCGCATACGAGGCTTTGTATACTCGATCAACTTTTCTTTTTCTTGTAGCCAGAAAGACGTCCCTGCTTGAAAGAGACTCAGAAGTTTCTTTCTTTTTTTCCTGATTATATAAAAAGTGGTATAAAAATATTGCGGATTAAAGTTAATAAGTTCATATTTAAAAGAATAACAAGAAAAAAAATATCAAACCTCACATATTCGAGCAAAACTTCTTTTGCCAGCAGTGTGTGGATATTTCAAATTTTTGCGATTCTCGGTATTGGTTTGGGACATTTTCTGCAAATCAGCCAATGAATACAGAGTTGTCAAGTTCAATTGTCCCAACAGATTCAAATCAAGCTTAAATTGTGCACTAGGTTATGTAACTTAAGTGCATTTGATATATAAAGATAGTTAAGTAATTTCTAATTAAACATAAACCAAACATTCTCAGCAAATCATGAGACAATACTTAGTTTTACCTTGTAGGCATCAGAGTTCCAATAATTAAGAAGATCCCTAAATTGAGATTCAGGAATATCAACCGGCCTTTTCTCCATCCGAAGCTCGTCATTCTCATAGGCTTTATAATGGTCGTTAAGCAGTTGATTCTTATACTTTCTCCAAGCATTCTGAATTGATTCAAAAACCCACTTTTTGCAGCATCAGGAATATCATATTTTCCCTACAAATTTAATTTGCTACAGTTAGGTTAGTGTAAAAATATGAAATATCTACACAGAATATTGCGAACATCAAACCTTGATATATTTCCACATATTTTCTTTTGTTTAAAGTTTCCTCCAATTAAACACATTAAGAGGACAAAAGGCCGCATTCCTTGCTAATGTGCCGAGGTAGCTACCCAACTCTGCTACAACATCATCAGTAGGACCTATGGGTTGATTGTTCTCGTTTAGCACAATTAGCTTGCGCTCTTTCCTACCATGCAACACTTGGCATCAGAGTTTTTCTTCTTTTTCATTTTTCGGCAGAAGGACCTGCATTAATATTAAGTAAGAATAATCACCATATATCACGTCCATATTGTTTGTTAATTTAATGAAATAAAATTTATATGTTCTTGATTTGTTCCTCGGATTGTTCGTTTGTTTCATGATTGGAAGAATCCTCAAATTGTTCATGTATAATTTGTGAAGTACGAGTGGTGGAATCCAGTGGCAGTTGCTGCAATTGTTCACGCATTGCTTGTGATGCAAGAGAGGTAGAGTTCTGTGACTTTTACTGCACATGTTCATGTACAGTTTGTGTTGGAGGAGAAGCAGAAGGCTGAGGCAGTTGCAACAATTGATATTCCACTTGAGCTCCTAATCGCTGAAGTTGTTTTTCAATTAAATTCAGATGATGCTTGTCATTTGTCCTTGTAGCTTGAACAACTCTTTTTGTTTTCAACGATGAAACTTTTTGGTTCAGCAAAGATGCAAGTGATCTGGCTGCAATGCAATTTTTAGCTTTTTTGTTTTTACTTGAGTGCCCTTCCTGATTCATGACTATTCAAATTCCAGTCAAATTCAGAAAGTAAAATAAGAAATAAGTTTATTTGATATAAGTAATGCTGGTATACAATTTGATGCTTCCTTTGACATTGATGTAACTACAAATACTTTAAAATCAAAGGAGCTAAAACAGAGTTGTCAACCAGTAATCAAAGGAGCTAAAACGGAGTTAAGCAGTATATGCTCATAAGGCCAGTTCTGTAATAAATGATCTTCAAAAATGTAAAACAGGTACACAATTCTAATCACCTTATTTCTTTCTCTAGAATGCAACTCTTAACTTTCATCGAAATTCAAACAACATAGTAACATATAATATCTAGCTTACATAACAGAGAGGCACTAGCCAAAAACTCAGCAACATCTCAAGGGACTATTGCAATTCTTATTATGCCCACAGGGCAAAGATATTATTACTATATATATATTATGAATAGATGAGTTGTGTTGATAGTGTGCCTTATCTTATGCTTTGAATAAGGGAGAGTTGATTGACTGGACCAATCTATTATGCAGTTCCATATGAGAGAACCACAGATGTGCAATCTTGTATGCCGTACTGTTCTTAATGCAAAAACTGCAAAAGAGTTAAAGGAGAAGATTGAAGATGAATATCGGGTCAACATGTGAGAATTATCCTATGAAATCTCTATATATTGAATTTGTTTCCTCTTTTCTGGTTGTATAGTATTGCATCTAACATGCGGTGTGACGTTTTAACAGGATTTTGGATAATATTCCTCTTGTTATGCCCATAAAAAGGCCTGACCTGGACACTACAGTCTATCAGCATGGTTTTCATGTTGGTCTAAAGGGACAATATGCTGGAGTATGTATCAGATTATTTCAATTTTTGCTTTGGTGGTTTCGGTTTGTAAATATGGAGGCATTGTGAACTTATTTCCTCTGCATTTTCTCGTTCCTTCAGAGCAATGAGGAGAAGCATTTTATCCATAATCATCTGACATTCGCTGTCAAGTTTCACAAGGATCCACAAACTGATGTGGCTAGAGTTGTAGGTTTTGAAGTGAGACCATTTAGGTAATAATGTGTTGTATGATTGCTATTGATGAGCAAAACTTCACTGTCATTCCCATTTAGTAAGGCGAGTTATCTAGGGAAATATCATTAAACAGATACCAATTGATCTCCCTAAAAACAAGACTAACAGGAACAGAAGACTACCCGATTCAAACTAGGTGAAGCATGTCAAAATTCATGGATGAGCACTTCTCAAAACACGACAAGAAAGGAAAGAATTTCACTATGACACCTAAATTAGATTAATTTACTACTCAAACAGTATGGAATCCAAACTGAAATCGCTAATACACGACATGACCAAAATTGAGCAAAATCTCGCAACAGCTTCAAAACATTAAACTAAACTATCCTAAACAACAATAGGCAAGGAACATCGATGAATAACTCCAGGAAAATGCAAGTAATTGAACAGATAAATTAAAAGGCAAGAAAAAACTGAGCTTTAGTCCATTGAGGTCGGAGAATCGGACAGAGATGAAATGAGGAACAGATAAAGACATTGTTTTGGAGGTTTTATGTAATAATAGGCTTAATTAACACAGAAAGTGTTCAATTTCAGGCAATAATAAACAAAGTGCAGTGCACTGCTGGAGTCAGAAAATTAAATTTAGATTTCTTAATGACGAATTCACCTACCTCTATCTAACAGAAATGAAGAATTCTGATTTTCTGATTTGCTGATGTATATTAACGTCACCAAGAGCTGCTAAAATATTAGAAGATCCCAAATCCTGCAAAATTGAACCATGTTAGACTAAAATACTAAAGAAATAAAATAAAAAATTATTAAAATTATATAAACAAGAGTAATTATAAAATATTGATAAAAAATATTATTACTCACACTAAACAGAATATATTTAAAAGAATATAAGAAGTTTCTTCTTTAATCATCTGATACCATCCAGTCCCAATCAGTATCATCAAACTCATTCTCCTCTTCCGATGTTTCTATAATTGTATCATGTGAATGTTGTGCATTAGATGGAATATCAACGACATCAACGGGTACATCGTTTCTTAAGCATCCAACGTTAACATCAACTAATCCACTTAAGAAAACAATGTCATCATTAGGCTCCCTCCAAAATACGTCTTCAATATTGGAGCAATTCTCTTCCAAAGAATCATATAAATCAACAGGGACTTTATTCCTTGCATAATAAACATCTTTCTCAATAGGATACTCCACAAAAAAAAAACTTGATAAACTTGTGATGCTAACACAAAAGGGTCATATGTACTACATAATTTCTTAAAGTACACACGGGTTAACCCATATTCATCTATTTCATTACGAAACCAATCACATCTAAATAGTACAACACTAAAACAACCCCAATAATCAATCTCAATGATATCCTAAATAGCTCCATAATAGATAACCTCACCATGGATGGGAATTTGGTCCCTAGAGCTAGCAAAGCTATCGGTTGTTGCCGATAAAGTCACTCTATTGTTTTGAGTCTTGCATCGGGAATCCCGTTCTATGGTATGAAATCAGTATCCGTTAATGAAATATGCAATATATCTTTTGGCGATCGCATTAGGCCCTTTAACTAGCCATCTTACATAATCGAGCACTTCAATATTTTTAACTTTCTCAGCAAACCAATTGTTGAATTCCCGACTATGATTTCTTGCCCTTTCCCATGCATTTGATCTATTGTGATTACCAATTAAATTCTTATGTTCCCTGCAATGATGAATATTTCAAGATCAATCATATCATTAAAAAATGAAGTATAGAATAAGTGTTATATAATTTATCTTACTCGACAAACTTTTCCACTAGTTCATCTCCAGTATTGAACAGAGCATATCGATGTGCTTCATAACATAACTGTGGATCTATGTGAAAAGTATTTTTCTTCTAACTTCCAATTGGATGGCCTATAACAGGGAATATATATGACAAATTTTGAGGGCACTCATCATCTACAGTTGGGTATCTACTGAATCTTGTCTTCACGCTGTCATGTAGGTATCTTGAACAAAAAGTCAAACACTCTTCTGGCAAAAAATCCCTCTGCTATCGATGCTTCTGGATAAGATCGATTACGAACAAATGCCTTGTATTTACATAGGTTCCTCTCAATGGAATACATCCGACGAAGATGAGCTGGACCTCCAAGCTTAATTTCATTCACCAAATGTGGCATTATATCGAAAAAGGTTGGATGAAATTTTTTTTCAAGCTCACAATTTATCTCAACAATTTCAGAGTTCATTTTTTCAAGATCTCTTCGCCTTATGACCTTACTACATATGGCTCTAAAAAAGTTACCCAACCTAACCAAGGATAATGAAATACTCTTAGGCAATGTCTTTCTAACAGCAACCTGGAGCAAGTAATGCATTATAAAATGAGCATCATGACTCGTGTACCCTGATATTTTCATCTCCTTCACTTGCACGCATTCTGAAATATTTGAAGCACAACCTTTTGGTAACTTGGCATTTTTTATGACGGTACAAAATAAACTTTTCTGTTTTGGTTCCATGTAGAAACAAGCTTTAGCCAAACTCACTGTTCCATCATTATCTTCTCTTGATTGTAACTCCTTTCGTATCCCCATTTCTCGTAAGTCACAGCAAGCATTTACATGATCCTTTGACTTTTTTTTATTTCCAATAAAATCCCAAGCAAATTGTCACATATATTTTTCTCGGTGTGCTTCACATCAAGATTGTGCCTCAATTTGTTATGCATCCAATATGGCAATTCAAAAAAATAGATTTTTTTTCCACGGACCCTTGTTATCCGGAGGTCTTTTCTTTTTACCCTTTCCAAAAACATTGTTGAATTCAAGTAGCTCTTGAAATACTTCTACACCCGACAAAGGAGTAGGTGCAGGTCTATTCTCCTCCTTACCATCAAATGACTTTTTATCTTTCCGCAAAGGATAATCATGAGGCAAAAATCTTCGATGGCCCATATAACACATCTTATGACTGTGTTTGAGATATAGAGAGCATGTATCATATTTACAAGTGCGGCATGCCAACCTCCCCTTGGTGCTCCATCTTGAAAGCAAAGCTAATGCTGGAAAATCACTAACTGTCCACAACAAGGCTGCACGCATTTGAAATGTTTGCTTTGTCTCAGCATCATATGTTTCTATCCTAGTTTTCCATAGTTCCTTCAATTCTGCAATAAGTGATTGTAAGTACACATCTATATCATTTCTTGGAGATGAAGGACCTGGAATGATCATTGACAATACGATATATTCTAGCTTCATGCAAATCCATGGTGATAAATTGTAGTTCATTAACATGACATGCCACGTGCTATGAGAAATGCTCATGGTTCGAAATAGGTTGAAACCATCACTTGAAAGACCCAACCTAACATTACGTGGATCTTTGGAGAAGTCATGATGTAGAGAATCATCCTTCCAAGCTTCTCCATCAGCAGGATGCCTCATATTCTCATCATTAGGTTATTCATTAGCATGTCATCTCATTGCAATAGCTGTTTCAGGACATATGAATATCCTCTAAAGCCTAGGCTTCAAGGGAATGTACCTTAAAACCATTGCAGGAACTTTAGAACTTGTATTAGTCAATGCACGATTAGAACTTTTCCATCTAAAAGACCCACAAACAGAGGCCTTTGCATTGTCATTCCAAAATAGCATACAATTATTAGGGCATGCATGTATTTTTTATAATGAAGACCCAAATCTTTTATCATATTTTTAGCCTTGTTGAAAGACTCTGGCTGCTTAGCAAAGGGAAATGCCTCTTTTAACAATTCTAACAAGTCTGAAAAGGCTACATTACTCAACCCATGCAAAGACTTAAACAAGTATAACTGGATAGTGAAACTCAGTTTGTTGAAGTTTTCACACCTTGGATATAATTCTTGTTTGCCTTCCTCTCTTTAGATAGAGCCTCTCTCATCCCTTCTTCTTGTATCGGCTCACCTTCTACATTTCTGAATGTATCATGAAGTAATCCATCAATATTATCACGCATGTTAAAACCTTCATCATTATTGCTTTGACGAGGTGTAATTCTAGAGGAAAATCCTTCACCATGGAAAACTCATTCGGTGTAATCATCAACAAAGCCATTAACGACCAAGTGATCCTCCACCATATTTCTATAATGGCAATAGCGATTTATGCATTTTTTTGCATGGGCATAATATTTCATTTCCTTGGGAAGTTCGTTCAAATGCCTTATCAAGGAAATCATTCACTCCACGGATATACTCATCCGTCTATCTTAGGAGATGCATCCAACTTTTATCTACATTATGCATGGAAATCCTATACGACAAAAGTAAATCAATATAATTTACTCAATAAAATAAGGTACGTACTAATTTGACTTTGGCTAAAGCTAAAAGGGGATGAACTCAAGGAGTTACAAATAGTAAAGCAATTCTTGCATTGAGAAAAAAGCTATAAAATCATTAGAGAAGAGATCTGTTCTTAGTATCAACGAAAGTTCAAAATAAACCACAAAAGGTGTTCACATGGCACATTTTTGATAAGTACAACAACAACAACAACATACCCAGTATTAACTTTTACAAAGCCATGATTTCCAACAAAACAAAGCCATGATTTCTTTGCATACACTATAAACAATCAAAGAACTAAGTATTTATATTTCCAATTAATTTCCATTATCTCACATATTTTATTTTATTTTAAATGTGACAGCTTAATTATAACCGTTGATTATGTTTGGGATCGATCAAATTTTAAGTTGGTGATTTGTAGCGACTTTTGACCTAATTAAAGAACGCTTTGAAGCTAATTTTTGTCTATGCTGGCTGAGTTTATTATCTTTTTTTGGTTGTATTATTGTTTAATCACTAAGGATGTATTATTGATTAATCCTAATTTTGGTTTGGCCTTGTTTTACCTTTCTAACTCTAATTTCAGCCATTCTTGGCAAAACTCAAAACACAACTAATTCACTTATAATGGCATTTCCAAAGACAACAAGACTGAACACCTAAAGACTAAATAATGGTTTCAACATCCACTATATGTTATCAGGCCGACAACTCAGAGCTGAGAAACTATTTGATTTTTAGAATGAAAATATCAGGATTGTGATAAAACATCAAAAGACCTCATTTTTCTTCCTTCTAAACCAATTCTACTACAAAACTTAACAATAAAGAAAAAAAAAAGTTTCTTTCTTTATTAATCTGAAAGAGGAAAAACAAACAAAAGATTAAATTTTAACATTAAGAAACTAACACAATTACAAAAAGAAACGACTTTTGAAACTCACCAGTCCCAACAACCTCTTAAAAAGCCGGAGAAAGGGATTCTTCAAACACCAAACTTGAGGAAATTGTTAAGGAAAAGAACAAACAGTCACCTACAAACAGAAGAGTTAAATCTTGGTTATAGTAAAAGCTTCAGATTGGAGAAAAGTTAAATCTTGAAGCAGATTTTTGCAATGAAGAAAAGAAAGTTTCTCGGTAAGAATGAAGAGTCTGTTAAAATATTCAAGCTTCTAAATATTATTTTTTTATTTCACAAAATTACACTACCAAAAAGTTGGGATTTATTTCTGCAAAAAAGTAACATTATTGTTGAATACAATGCTGCCTAGATATACATTGTTTCAAGTTCAAGCCTCTCTATGGTGAAACAATAGATCTAATGTAGTATCAATAGTTTTTAGAAATCACGCATCAAAAGTTATCCCTTTTGTTTGTTGTCCAAGTCCAGCACTATTTCAAGGTTTTTAAAGTTAAGATTCACAAGTACATGCTCTATTTTCCACAAGTTGTTACACGCGTCATTGACACTTGTAAGATAAATATGTTTTTCTGTATCTCATGTACATATCGTGCTACAGAACAACAACCACTTTGAGCTTCAAACATGAAACATTTTGTCACCAGAAAAAAATCAAAGAATGGGGCACAAAAGAAAACTAATAAAGATGCCCAAAAAATGCACCCAAAATCACAAAAATTAAATAATTTTACATGTATTCCTTAAACAAAACAATAAACCCCATGAAGTCTACACGTGAAATCAATACATATCGATGAAATTAAAAACAGGGCCACAAATCCAAAAAGGGGAAGAACAAATAGGGAATAATACTAGGAAGAAATAGTGAAATAAAGAAGCAACTAAATTAGTAAAATGGAGGAGATTTACTGAATATAGCAAAACTTAGGCTTTGAGATTTAGAGAATACCCCTTTGTACCCTTATTTGACAAAAATTAAAGAGAGCACATTAAAAGTAGGCGAAAAAACCTGAGAGAAAGAAAGTACCTGTGATTTCACCCGCTCAATCCTAAGTCGTGGAATGATGTTAGTTTCTTTGCTTCCTTGGAGTTTCAGACGCCAAAAAATTTCAGAAATTTATTCTTCGAGCAGTCGAATATCGCCAAAAAGGTTTTTACACAATTTCGTTTTCTCTAACAAAGAGATTGAAATATGGGTTTTCTCCGAGCAATCGATGCTGGTTTAACAGGGGAAGAAGATGGTCTTTTGCATGGTGTTTTAGTGGACGTTTTATGGCTGAAAGACGGTGGAAATTTTGGTCAGAGATGGGCGGAGACGCGTCAGAGGAGATTTAGGGGTTTGGGACTTTGGGGATATCGACGACTGCTAATACAATATGGAGTACTTAAATTAGAGATTTTTATGTTTTTATTTTTCTAATTAATTAAAAAAATAGAAATTATTTTTGTTTGGCGGGTTTAACAAAATTTAGGAGGGAATCTGATGAGGAGAACAAAAACTGTTCCGTTACCAGTTTTCCCAAAAATCCATTCTAAACTGTCCGGTTAAAAAGTGCTATGGCAACGATTTAATTTCAATGGTAACGGTTTTACATCAAAAGTGTGCTAATATAATCCACATTCTACTGGAATGGTTATAGCCGTTGCTATATCTGTTCTATCGTAACAGTTCTATAACTATACGAAAAAACTGTTGCAATAGGCTTATTTTCTGGTAGTGTACCTTGGACTGAGTAGAACCCACAAAACCTAGCCCTTCTTCATCCAAAATTAGTCCTCCAACGCAGCTACAAGAAGGAAAAAGGGAGACTAGCAAGTTGTCCGGGATTTTTGGCACTAGAATCACATCGTTACACCCGAAATAACCTAGGGTTTGTGTGAGATTTTTGGGGAGGAGTTGTAGGGGTTCAATGTGGATTTCTTGGTATGAAATATGGCTTAAATAAATGAGTTTATAAGCCCTTAAAAGTCCTATCTTGGCCGACTTTGGAGCTTTTAATTGAGGTCTCTCCTTTTGGCAAGTAGGTGATGCACCTACTTGTCACCTGCTAGTCTGCGCAGTCTCGCAAAAATATGAATACATCTCTACTATAATGTTGTATCAATGAACGGTTTACTTCGTTGGAAACTAGACTCATAGATCTTCAAGTAGGTAGGTAGATCATTCCGTAATTCCATGTACATTGGTAGATGTGCTTAGCTACATTTGACCTAAGTTTCAGCATATTTATGAATGTAACTTGTGATGACCTTTGCCAATTTTTGTTCCACAACTCGCTTGAATTCAAAATGCAATACACAACTATCATACGACTAAAATAACTCATAACATAACCTCCATATTATGTTAAGAACCCTAATTTCACCCCAAAAGTACATGTTATAATATTCCCAACTTGTCGACATTCGACGAACCTTATTTTCTTTAATTTATTTAGCTTCTAAGCCTTTCAACCATCTTGGTACTTGTTATACATGATCTTAAATATTTGTAAACTCCATTGTAGCATGATTAAATTACTTTTTGTTATTTCAAGATGATCTCATTTGTGAGCTTACATCAATTGACTTACGACGTACTTTCACGTATAAAAATATATGGTGTAGCATCATCTTCTCTTGTAGAACTCAGAAGGACTTCTAGGCCTTCTAAACCTCCTGTATGGTTCACTGACTATGCTGTGCAACATAAGAAGTATTCCTGTCAATATTCTGTATCACATTATCTGTCTTATGATTAACTTTCTTCTACATACCAGGCTTCTCTAGCTACTTACTCTACCATTGTTGAACCTAGTTCCTTCAGAGAGGCAAGTGCTGATCCTAAATGGGTGGAAGCCATGCAAGTTGAAATCTCAGCCTTGGAGGAGAACAATGCTTGGTCCAAAGTAGACCTACCTCAAGGGAAAGTTCCTATAGGATGTACATGGGTCTTTAAAGTCAAATATACGTCCAATGGTGAGGTGGAAAGATATAAGTCCAGATTGGTAGCCAAGGGCTACAATCAACAAGAAGATTTAGACTATATAGAAACTTTCTATATAGTCTTTAGTATATCTGATAAGATGGATATCCATAATACATTTCTGCGGGGTGACATGGTAGATGAGGTCTACATCCACTATTCCAGGTGGCTTTTCAACTGGAGGGGTGGTGGTGAAGGACTATGTTTCTGAGGATATACAACTTGCAGATAAAGAGAGCTATCAAAGATTGGTAGGAAGGCTTCTGTACCTAACTATGACAAGGCAAGATATAACCTTTGTAGTATAGGTACTTAGCCGATATATGCATGCACCTAAAGTTTTTCACATGGATACTACAAGAAGAGTAGTAGGATACATCAAGTCCACACCTGGATTTGGTTTATTTATGCCCACTAGGAGCTGCAAACACCTTATAGCTTACCGTGATTCTGATTGAGAAGTATGTGTGGAGTGTAGAAGGTCAGTTACTAGATATGTAGTGAAGTTTGGTGGAGCACTAATTTCCTGGAAGTTTAAGAAGCATGGACAGTATCTAGGAGCTCAGATGAGGTAGATTTACGAGTATGGCAGCCATAGTAGCTGAAATTGTGTGGATGGTTGGACTCTTCAAAGAACTAGGAGTGAATATCAATCTACATGTATCCTTATACTGTGACAGCAAAACATCCATTCAAATTGTTGCACACCCAATATTCCATGAAAAGACTAAACATATAGGTGTTGATTGACATATTGTAAGGGAGAAACTCGTGCAAGGATTAATTCAAACTCAGCATGCTGGAATAACAGAACAAATTGCAGATGTATTAACAAAAGCACTATGCAAACCACATCATGACTAATTACTGAGCAAGCTGGGAATGAAGAATGTATTTCATCCCTCAGCTTGAGGGAGAGTGTTGAGAGGTGTGGGTCCCGCCTATTTAATTATATTGTAGTTAGTAGATAGTTAGTTATAACTACTTAGTGGATTAGTAGTAAATTTAGTTGTTAGCCCTTATAAATAGTACTCCCTCTGTTCCAGTTTATGTGAACCTATTTCCTTTTTGGTCCGTTCCAAAAAGAATGAATCCTTTCTAAATTTGGTAACAATTTAGCTTAAAGTTACAACTCTACCCTTAATGAGAAGCTTTTATAACCACACAAATACTCTAGGTCCCATTTGGACTTGTTTAGGACCACAAATTCCAAAAGTCTTCATTTTTTTCTTAAACTCCGTGCCCAGTCAAACAGGTTCGTATAAATTGGAACGGAGGGAGTAATACTTTCACAGATAAATAGAGAAGTTGTACATATCACATTTGTAGTAAATGGAGTAACTTCTTTCTCCTTCATCTCTTTCTCTCTTCTCTCTTCTCTCTTATCTCGCCCATAGCCAGAGCTCCTTAACAGAAAGTCGCCTTTGCAAGCATAAGTACATAGGTCAAATTTTTTCCTTTTTGCTTTTGTGAATAGTTTTTTCTCGAAGTTGTTGGCTAGCTAAGAGAAGGAGGAAGATGAAGTCGGACAAGAATTGAACCTTGCACTTTTAGATCGAGCGAGCTTCCCATTTGATCCTTGTCACTTATTTTTGTTTTTATTTTTTGTTTTATGTTAAAAGGGAACTATTATTAATACTTAAGGTTGCACTACAACCGTAATGGTACTACTAGTGGAAGTATCCATGAGCGCAATAGTAATAATACTAGAGTTACTCATGATTCTCATAAAATATATTAGCGAACCTTGTTCAAACGTTAATTCTTCTCATTTACATGAAATACTATGAGCTATTCCAAAGTTAAAGTACAAATCTAAAAAATAATTAAAAGAAATAAAAATGTAGAGACTTCACTTTCAAGTTTAACAAAATACTACTATTAAGATGGAATGAGGATTTTTCGACCGACTCAAGGAATCAAAACTTTTTCTTATGAAAGAGTCATGATAAACCATCTCAACACATTTAAGATTTCGTAAGAACCTGCCATTTGCGGAAACTAATAAAACAAAATATTATTGTAGTCTATGCCAAGAATAGATCCAAAAGGAAAGAAGACATGTGTGAGTGAATATAGAATTGTGGATTCCTGTATCTCCTAGCTAGATGATTCATTACACATAAATTTAAGAAACTAATTCTTACTTAGTGGCAATAATCTTAGGCCACTTTCTGCTCATCATCCCTGTTTCCTTCTTTTATTTGTGATATAAAGAAGGACACTCTATAAGCTATTTACACAAGGATGATGGAGGAGCCTTTTTGGGAAATATCCTATAAAAATTAACATTAATGGCCGCTTAGAATAAGTTGATTAAATCATAATTATTGCCTAAAAAGCTTTTAAGATTGATGATCATGACTGTTATGTCATCAAGGTTGCCTCTTCTTGCAGATATATCTACAAGCTTCTTACAAGCCAATATAGAACTCTTTTCTTTTGCTACCACATCTACTGCTTCTTGGTCACTTACCTGCGTGAATCAATATATATTTTCAAATTAATTAGTTAGAGTTGTAGAGTCAAAGGATTTAGATTATATACACTGACAGTGTAAAGATATTAATTTGGAGGGCGGTCATCCATACAGATGACCTAGGATCGATTCCCCCTCAATGCCTTTAGGGTTGTGCCTCTGTGCGGTTTACATTCCCTGTGTGGTTTACAGGCTATTACACAGTAAGGGGTTTACCCAGTGCGCACAGAGTACTCACCATAAGGTGCTCACCCGAAGGGCAGAGGCTGTGGCAAAGGCTGTAGCAGCTGGGGGTTTCCTGGGGTTCCAAAAAAGTTATACAGTTACTATCATTCTTATCAGATTTATTTTAAAAATGTACCTTATCCCACAAGCCATCAGAAGCCATGACGAGAAATTCACAATCAGAAGTTAAAGGAAGCTTCACAACATCTGGCTCAGAAATGATCCATTCCTTTAAGTAATTGTCTCCAAATGCCCTTGAAACTGCAAGTGATCCATTCACCCTCCAAACTCCATTGTGACAATACACAAATCCACCCTGCAATTTTACAAGAATTATATATTATTACTCAAAACTAACTTGACAGAAACATAATTAGCTATAAACATTAAGAATTAAGACTTACTGCATTTTCGACTCGGGCACGTTCATCTTCCTTAGTGAGACGATGGTCATTTGTTAGTCTAACAGCTACTCCTCCATTCCTACTCAAAACTGCTCTACAATCTCCCACGTTTGCTACATGGAGTTCTCCATCCTTCAACAGTGCACTAGCTACACAAGCTCCACCATTTTGTCCCTGCATATGCAAACACATTATAAACGTTAGTAACGGTTGGCGTAACTGGTAAAGTTGTTGCCATGTGACCATGAGGTCACGGATTCGAGTCGTGGAAATAGTCTCTTACAAAAATGCAGGATAAGGCTGCGTACGATAGACCATTGTGGTCCGACCCTTCCCTGAACCCCGCGTATAGCGGGAGGTTATTGCACGGGGCTGTCCTTTAGTAATGCTTGGATAACTAGTTTTGAAGTAATACCCTTATGATTTCTAACGGTTGCCTAGCTAGCTACCTAGTTTCCTTGAGTTTAATTTCCTTGCACCAACAAATATACAAATATTTACAGAATGGGGCTAAAATGACGTACAACAATATGTAATTATTTCTAGTAATCCTAATTTATAGTAACTCAAAATATGCATCGATTATACTGCCGGATAATGTAGAATTTTATGTTGTCTTGTGTATATAAATACTAATATCTTTTTTTTTCCTTTCACTCCTTTTTTCTCTTTCTTGATTTATAGGTTTAGATCCCCGTGGCGTGACTATTAGGCAGGGCCGGTCCTTCCATAAAGCAAGTAAAACAACCATTTTAGGCTTCATATTTGTGGGGACCTCATTTTTTTATTACACCTAATAGACAATGTATAAGTTTAAAAAAAGTTTTGTAATGTGAAAAAGTTTGATTTCTTTCTTTAACAAATAAATATAGAGAAGAAGGATTTGCAACTGCTATGATTTCTACCAAGAAAATTGCACTTGAAATGAATATCGAACCCGAATTTCGCAAGAAACGTGTGATATATAGGAAGTAAAAATTTGATGTGCAATGTTGATAATGAAATCTCAAAATCTTTCGAAGAGTCGTTTAGAGTTGATTACTTTTATACATAATAGACAAGGCTACTTTTTTACTTCAAAATAGATTTGAACAATTCGAAGCATATGAAAATATTTTTGGTTTACTATTTAGTAGTAAAAACTAAGATCGCTAGATATTGAAAATTTGAAAAAATATTGCCTTAATTTTGGTTGTTCCTTAAAGCATAATAATCAATTCGATATTGATAGTTTAGATTTATTTTTTGAATTAAAAATATTATGGAAAATAGTACAATTAGAAGATAACAATTTAATTGATACATTTAATCAAATAAAAAGATTTAATTCTTTTTCAAATGCCTAAATTGCTTATGAAATAATGTTAATAACTCATGTTACCGTTGCTTCAACGGAAAGAAGTTTTCAAAATTAAAACTGATAAAATCTTACATAAGAACAATAATGTTACAAGAAAGATTAAATGGACTAGTTATATTGTCAACTGAGAAAGACTTATTAGGAGTTATTGTTGGTTAGAAAATTATTTATAACTTTATATCTAAGAAAAGCTAAAAAAATAGATTTCAAATAAATAATGAAAAAATTAAAAAATTAAGGCCCCTCGTAAAGTTTGGCTTTAGGCCACAAAATTTGTCGGGCCGTCCCTGATCATCGTCTCCTGCATAGTCCGCGTCACAGTACCCAACTAACTTGCAATCGTCACCTTTCTCGTACAAAAAACCATAATTAATTATACTTTTTACATATCTTAGAATTCGCCGAACAGCCTCCATATGATGTTTCTTTGGATTGTGCATGTAACAACTTATTACACCAATTGCAAAAGAAAGATCAGGTCGAGTTTGAGTTAAATAAATCAGACTCCCTACCAATTGTCGATACACCATCACATCTTCTAAATATCCTTCCCTTCGTGGGCACACATCTTGGCATTTGGTTTAATTGGTGTTGCAATTGGCTTGCACCCCAGCATTCCGAATTTCTTCAACAAATCTCTGGAATACTTTTGTTGATGAAGAAAAATTCCTCCTTGAGTACGATCAATCTCCAGGCCAAGAAAATGCTTGATTTGTCCATGTTCTTTCATGTGAAGCTTAACAGATAAATTCTCCTTTGTTTGGAGAATTTCATCTTCATTATCACCAGTTACGATCAAGTCACCGACATGTACTAGCACTACATCTAGCTTTCCTCCATTGACTTTGACAAACAAACTTGAATTTGCAGATGTAATAAATAACCACTTTGAGTTAAAAATTCAGCAATTTTACCATACCATGCCCTTGGCGATTGCTTTAATCCATAGAGCGCCTTCCTTAGCTTACAAACATATTCAGGATGTTCTTGGTTCTGGAAGCCCATTTGAACCATGTAAATTTCTCGATCCAGTTCTCCATGTAGAAACGCGTTTTTACATCTATCTGCCACAAATTCTAATCTTTACTACCAGCAAGTGCAAGTAAGACTCACACAGAACTTTGACACTGGACTGAAAGTTTTATCGTAGTCCAAACCATATTCTTGAGTAAATCCTCGAGCTACCAAATAATCTTTATGCCTTTCGATAGACCCATCTATGCGATGCTTTATTTTATAAATCCATCTGCAATATATAGGCTTCACATCTTTTGGCTTTGGCATAAGCTCCCAAGTTTGATTTTGTTCTAATGCTGCAATTTCCTTTTCCATAGCATTAGTCCACCTTGGATCTTCAAGTGCTTCTTCAAATGTCTCATGTTCTGTCGTATATGCTTCTTATACTATGTCGGCATTGGCATACTTCGGGTTTGGTTTTCTGATCCTTATTGACCTTCTGAGTGTGGGTGGTGTAGCTGCGCTACTAGGCTCACCTTCTTCACCTGGTTGTTGGTATACACCAGATTTCCAAGGACTTTAAGTCACGTCTCCTTCAACATTACCTTCAAAAGTTGCACCATCAGCTTCATCTACACTCAACTGAATCTGGGACGAGTCTAACACATCCTTGAAAATATCCGAGTCGGGCAACACTTCCTTATCCGAAGACCACCATGAAGAAGTTTCATCAAATACTACATTTCGAGAAGTGCAACACTTTCCTGTTTTTGGATCACAACATCGCCACCCTTTTCTTTGACTGTCATAGCCTACAAAAATACACCTGACAGCCTTCTTGTCCATTTTGCTACGTAGATGATCTGCTATAAAAACATAGCACACACATCCAAACACTTGCAAATAACTGATATTAGCTTTCATATTCCACAACTTGTCAAAAAGTGAAAGAAAATTTAACCCTTGTTGAGGAAGTCTATTGATCACAAAAGCTGCAATCTTCATTGCTTCTGCCCAAAATTTGTTGGGAATAAACCCCACAGAAATAATATTCACGGTAATAAAAGTGGAATAATAATGTAGTACCGACATACGGTAATTAACAAGAATAAAAGAGTAAAATCGATACCAAAATTTTTACGTGGAAAAACCCTTTTAATAAGGGAAAAAACCACTGCCCCGAGAGGAGCAACTGATATCACTATAGTAAGGAATTTTACACTTTGTAGGTCCGAGTAAAATATTCCAAAGACCACTATAACACTCAAAACAAATAACCCTCTTTTGATATTCCCACCTCACTACAATATCACTCACTCTCTATTTTTCTCACAGACTATTTTCTTATACCCTATCTGTGAAACCTCACTCTTTCTTTCTCTCTTTGTTGGTGTATAAAAATGAGAGCCGAAGCTCTCATTTTATAGGCGGAACCTTACTCTCTCACGCTTACTGTTTTTGACATTTTTCTCTTCTACAAATTTGGTATGCCTACCAATCTTGACTTTTGAAATCTTATAGATTTCACTCAACCAAAATCAGATTTGGTATCATTATTGCTTTCCCCTTTTTTCTATATATATTATTTAATGGGGATGGACCCCACAACCTCCCCTTCCAGACCCATTCACCTGAAGGAAGTAACACTGGAGGTTCTAGTTTGAGTGTATGCTGACAAGTTCTTTGCATAGCTCAAACTTGTCTCTTGGTACCAGTTTGGTCAGCATATCCGAAGGATTCTCACTTGTATGGATCTTCTTTACCTGCATAAACCCATCCTCTATCCTTTCTCGAATCCAATGATATCTCATGTCGATATGCTTCGTCCTTGCATGATACATGGTGTTTTTGCTCAGGTCTATTGCACTTTGACTGTCACAATAGATGACATACTCCTTCTGGTGCAATCCAATCTCTTGAAGGTACCGTTTGAGACATACCATCTCTTTGCCAGCTTCAGTAGTGGAAATATACTCTGCTTCAGTTGTAGAGAGTGCGACACACTTTTGCAACCTCGACTGCCATGATATAGCTCCCCCTGAAAATGTAAACAAATATCCAGTAGTGGATTTTCTGTTATTAATGTCACATGCCATATCAACATCTGTATAGCCCTTCAAGATTGGATCAAATCCTCCAAAGTACAAACAATCTCCTACATTACCTCTTAGGTACCTGAGTATCCACTTGACTGCTTCCCAATGTTCCTTTCAGGGATTTTCAAGAAACATGCTAACAACACCAACTGTGTGAGCAATATCAGGTCTAATATATATCATTGCATACATCAAGCTTCCGACTGCTGAAGAATAAGGAACTCTAGCCATGTTCCCTTTCTCCTCCTCTGTTGTAGGACACATCGTTTTGCTCAACTTTAGATGACTAGCAAGAGGTGTGCTGACTGGCTTAGCATTCTTCATGTTGAAGCGTTCTAGTACACGTTCAATGTACTTCTCCTGAGATAGCCACAACTTTCTACTTGTTCTCTCTCGAACTATCTTCATCCCTAGAATTTGTTGTGCTGGGCCCAAGTCCTTCATATCAAATGACTTGGACAGATCTCCTTTCAACTTTGCTATCAACCCCTTGTCTTTTCCTACAATTAACATGTCATCCAGCATACAACGACAATATAATAAAGTTATTCTCGGAAAATCTTTGAAGTATACACATGGATCAGAATAGGTCTTTAGGTATGTTTGACTTTTCATGAATGAGTCAAACTTCATATACTTGGTGCCTGCTTCAATACATAAAGACTCTTATTCAATTTGCACACCATGTGTTTCTTTCCAGCTACTTCAAACCCCTCTGGTTGCTCCATATAAATCTCCTCTTCCAAATCTCCATGAAGAAATGCAGTTTTCATATCCAACTGCTTCACTTCA